TCTCAACATTTTCAAAATAGTAAAAGTGTTTTTGGCAGCAAAACTTTATTGCAGGAATATATTCCTCTCTGTAGCATACATGCTATTTTACCTATAGTGTTTCATTTCAGTCAACAGATATTTAATATATTTACTGAATATTCTTGGTGCTAGAAAAATAGCTATAAATGAAAATCGTTTATTTGCTTGTGCATCAATATGATTCAGAGAGTAAAGAAGATTAATTGAAAAAATATGTTACGTACAATGTAGGTGGTAGTAAGGAGCTATAGAGGGCAAATAAGTTTGGGCAGGGTGAGTATAATTTTAGATTGGGGTCCTCAAGAACTCACCGAAAAGGTGATGCTTGAGAAAAGACAAAAAGTAAACAAAACAAATACAAAATCTCTTGGTAGAAACAAGTCTTTGTAATATATTAAAGTAGGCCAAATATGGCCTGACACCTGTTTTGTTAATTAATGTTTTAAAAATTTGAGATAATGTCTCACTATGTTGCCCAGTCTGGGCTTGAACTCCTATGCTCTAATAATCCTGCCTTTTCACCTCCTGAGTAGTGGGTACTACATGTGAGTGACTTCATGCTCAGCTTGTTAATTAAATTTTATTTATCTGTTTGATATCTAATTCCCAATGGCTGTTTTCATGCCATAGTAGTAGGGTTTAGTGGTTGCACCAGACATTATGGCTGGCAAAGCTTAAAATATTTACTATCTGACCCTTTATAGAATTAAGTTTTTCAACCCCTTTGAGCAATGTAGTGCATGCAGAATAAGTGGGAAGCATTGTATGTAACACAAAAGGAAATGAGGTCGACAGGGTCTCACTATGTAGTTCAGGCTGGCTTTGAACCCACTGTGCAGCCGGAGCTGGCCCTGAACTCCCAGCGATCCTCCTGGCTCAGACTCCCAAATGCTGGGATTTCAGGCATGTGCCATCAGGCCCAGCTCTCCTTCCTTTTCCAGGAGCAGCTACAATACAATTTACAGCAATGCTACAACAAATACTCATTTATGAAATATATGTTTATGTATATTTATATATGTGTGTATAGTTGTAAGTGTGCTGTAGGAATAGAATGCTGAGCAATGTATATTTCCTTGCATTTAAAAACAAGGTATTCAGTACCAAAAAGGGGGGGGCAGGGATTTAGCTCAGTGGTTTTGCTGCCTGGTGCGCACACGCAGGGAACTGAGTTCGATCCCCGGTACCAAAAAAATAAAAACAAGATATTCCAAATTGTTCTTTAATGTGTTTGTATTAATTTATTTCTCACTGTAGATCTGAAATAGTTTGAAACTAACATACTATTTTGAAATTTCTCCTGTCTTGTTGTAAAAGAAAACCATTCTTTTTTTTTTTGGTACTGGGGATGGAACTCAGGTCCTTGGGCTTGCGCAGCAGGCGGTGAAACCACTGAGCTAAATCCCTGGCCCTAGTTACCTTTTTATCACCCAAAATATCACAAGTCCAAAATATATTAAATGGATGAGTAAAAAAGTATTGTACTTGGCTTTTGTTTTTTGTTTTGTTTTTTGGTACCAGGGATCAAACTCAGGACCTTGTGCTTACAAGGCAGGTGGCGTACCACTGAGCTAAATCCCTGGCCCTTTTAAAATTTTTTGTACAATAAAAAGTCAATAAATCTAGGTCTTATATAGTAGCTTCATGAAATCATCAAGAACCTTTCCCAGTCTGCTATTTTTATTATGTGGCTCCATTATCATGATTGGTCCTTCTGGTGTTTTGTGCAGAATCTGGACACAAAGAAAGGAAAAGGCCAAAAAACTCAAGTCAGCTGAATTCTGTTCCTCACCTGACTTCCTCATACATCTCATTGATTGTAACTGGATCATAGACTCATACCTGTAAGGTGTCTGAGGAGTCAATCACCTTCCTGAACAAAATTAGAGTTCGGTTAGTAAGAGGAGGAGATTAGATACTGTGTAGGCACCCATTGATATCTCCCACTGTTAATTTATGTAGAATATTCAATGTTAGTGATTTTGCTTTGAGTAGTTAGGAAAGCATATACCAGATGATCAGTAAATATTTATTGAGTAAATGAAACTTACAGTAAATAGCAGTTCTCGTTTTTTTTTTTTTTAGTGCTGGGGATCGAACTCAGGTCCTTGTGCTTGCACAGCAGGCAGCGAAACCACTGAGCTAAATCCCTGGCCCAATAGCAGCTATCTTAAATCACCTCAAGTGTGGCAGGAAATGTTGGTGTTCATTTTGATTTTTAAATAAATTTTCCTTTACTTTTGTTGCTTCAGTTTTCATGCCTGTGAAACTCATTCACATTCTCTTTTACAGTCACTTTTTGACAAACCTGAAGGGAATTCTCATATGATTGAGTGATATTTTCATCATTTATCATCATGCTTAAGTTTCTATTCTCTCATGATTCTGTTGTTTTCTATACTGTTATGGAGACATATCCATGTAATGTAGGGGATCTAGAGTAATAATTGTTGTCATTTTTTTTCCTTAAAGAACTGAGCCAAATATGAAATTTCCAATGATTTAACATTTGGGATAAGAGAGATTTAATACCAGTGAAGAATAATAATTGAGGTTATTTAGTCCAGCAGCTTTATTTATAGATGAACAAATGAAGACCAGAGAGTTTATGGCATACTCCAGAAGTAGCTCAATTAGTATAAATGAATCTGAGAGTCTTGAACCTCATGTCATCTCTCATTTTATTCTGTGTGTTGTTACTTGAATCAAAATCATTTTACCCCAAATAAAAACATAGTGTTATTTTACACTATGGGGTAGAGTCATGATGTGATTCTGTGATGCTTCCTGAACCATAAACATATAGGAGATATATTAAATTGTATTCAGTAAACGAATACTTAGTATTAGGTTGAAGTTCATTTTATAGGTAGCAATCTGTATTTTAAAGCTATTAGCTAACTGTTAAAATGTTTGTTAAATTAATGTTCCCGATACACTGACCAAGCTCAATGAGAATTTACTAAATCTAGTCAACAGTGGAAAAAAGGAAATATAATCAGTCATCTCTAAATTTTTTAGCACCATATATTAAAGTGCCAGTCGTATAAATACTGACACTGATTTCAAGCTCTGAATGGTTCTAAATAGCTTTTGAGGTTTTTATTTGCTACATGATTGGACATTTTTTTTAAATGGAGATTTGTAGTGAAAACATTCACTTTTAATGAAATACTAAATTTTATTTTTAAAAAGCATACTGTACTTTGTCTCACTTCTCTCTATTCTATTTATTATGTCCCCATGAAATTCTTTTCTTTCTTTGTACAGGGGTTTGAACTCTGGACCTTGCACTTGCGAGGCAGGTGGTGGAACCACCGAGCTAAATCTCTGGCCCTCTCTACTTCATTTATTGTATCCCCACGAAATATATTATTACTCTGGTTTTTCAACAGCAGTCTGTGTAACATTTTTAAAAAATTCATAGCTTGGTAAAACTTTTTTCAAATTAAAATTTTTTTTTTTTTTTGGAACCGGAGATTGAACTCGGGTCCTTCCACTTGCAAGGCAGCTGGCTGAACCACTGAGCTAAATCCCTGGGCCTCAAATTAAGGTTTTTCATTTGCAAAGTTGAAGGAATGGAATATGTACAAAAATTAGTAGTAATGAACAGAAAATACTGCTCAGTTTAAGAGTACGATCTATGCTCTTTCTGTAATCATTTTTAGAGGTTATGCTGTTTACCTAGATATGACATTTGTTATGTTTAAATCTGCTCTATTAGGTGCTCCATAAAAGTTGAACTACATAGTAAGTAAAAAGAGGCAACGACAGGTGAACCTAAATAGTTGTTTTGGAAAATACTAACTTCTTACATGGTGAATAATGGCATTTGATAAGGTCAATTGTACAGCCACATTGAGGACCCTCATACAATCATAAAGTTTGATTAATTGTTTTGGTTTTTTGTTTTTTGAGACAGGGTCTTGCTGTGTAGCTCAGGCTGGCCTTACTCAGCATATAGCACAGGTTGACTGTGAATTCACAGCGATCCTCCTGCCTCAGCTTCCCAAATGCTAGGATTACAGGCATGTACCATCATACCTGGCTAATTTTTGAGAAGGGCACTTAATATGATAAAGCATTAGTGTTTTAATGAAAAAATTAAGGCCAAATGTGTCCAGACTGGTGAAAAATATCTAAGACCAGAATAAATTTTTAAAATATTAAATACTATTAAAATAAGTTCTAAAATATTACTAGTGATTGCCTCTGAGTAGTAGTTATGGACATTTTCCTTGTTTTATTTTCCCACTGTTGTACTCGTGTTACTTCAGTGAAGTTAAGTGCTCAGTGACTTGCAAAAAATAGTTGTCAGTTTTTGGACCTTTTTTTTTTTTGGTACCAGGGATCGATCTCAGGACCTTGCGCTTGTGAGACAGGTGCGGTGCCACTGAACTAAATCTCTGGCCCGAATAGTTGTCAGTTTATAAAACAAAATAAGAAATGTTTTATGTAGCATTTTCAATATCATATTTTTGAGCCATCCCTTGAGCTTGAATAAACTGTTTGAGCTGTATAAATGTTTGCATTCCATTGAGAACCCTGAAGCTAAAAATAAATAACAGAAACCTGAGTATTTCTAAATACTGGTTTTTTAATATCTAGAAGATGGGCTTCACAATTTTGTCATTTTCTTCATTGTCAAATATCCAGTGACAAAAGCCACTTTTTTTAAAAAAGAAACTTCAAATGGAAGTACAGTGGACCCTAGACTTATGAACTGGATCAGTTCCCAAGTGCTATTTGTAACTCAAGTTGATTGTAAGTTAGTACAGCTGAGATGTGGTTGTTTACCTGGGTACACTCTATAGATAACAAGAGGCAGATGAATTTTCCATTAACCTAATTAACCCAAGTTGTTTGTATGTCAGGTCAGTCATAACTTGAGGGTCCACTGTATATGTTATATTAAATCTTTTGTATTTTATAATCTTGAATGTTTCTATTAATGTAATTAAACTTTTTCTGATTTTTAGAGGAACAGAAGGAAACCAAAAAGACAAAAGAAGAGAGGCCAGTGGATTCAGTAAACCACTCTACAGCCAGTGTTTTAGAAGAGACTATTTTTCAAGTTGAAAAAGATGATGAAAAGGAACTTATAAAACTTCCAGTCATTGTAAAGCTAGAAAAGTCTTTGCCAGAAAGTGAGGAAAAAAAGATTATCAAAGAAGAAAGTGATTCTTTCAAGGAAAATATCAAACCCATTAAAGTTGAAGTGAAAGAATGTAGAACAGATCCCAAAGATAGCAAAGGTAGCATGGAGAAGGTAGGAGCACAGGAACCCGAGAGGTTAGAATTTGGTGGCAATGTCCGATCTTCTCAGGACATTACAGAAAAATCTACTGAGGAGACTGAGAAACTTAAAAATGACCAGCAGGCAAAAATACCACTTAAAAAACGAGAAATTAAACTGAGTGATGATTTTGATAGTCCAGTCAAAGGACCTCTGTGTAAATCCGTTACTCCAACAAAAGAATTTTTGAAAGATGAAATTAAACAAGAGGAAGAGACCTGTAAAAGGATCTCTACAGTCACAACTTTGAGTCATGATGGAAAACAGCTGGTAAATGGAGAAGTTAATGATGAAAAGGTAACTTCAAATGTTAAAACAGAACAAATAGAGACAAAGTTTTCTGATACAAAGGAAGATATCTGTAGCAGCCTTTCTAAGGACAGAAGTGTCATCATGGAAGGAAATGGAGCCGAGTGCTTAAATTCTGTCCTAACCAGTACTAAAATACATGATCTTGAGATAGAAGTGGTCCCTTTAGGGAAAGTTGAAGATAGTGCAGGGTCAGTTGTAGGGACTCACAGTCAGAAAGGGCTGTTAGAGGAACCTGGTCTTCCAGAAATGGAAACTTCTCTCAAGTCTTCTGAAATAGCAAAGGATCTCTCTTTAAAAACTGCTTTATCTGCCACTGAATCCTGTACCATAAAAATTGAAGAGAAGCCCCCCAAAAGTAAGAAAGATAACCACCCACCAATCCTGGAAAGTCTTGAAAAAGTAGAGAAGTCCAAAAAGACATTTCTTGATAAGGATACACAAAGATTGAGTCCAATACCAGAAGAAGTTCCAAAGAGTACTATAGAATCAGAAAAGCCAGGCTCTCCTGGGGCAGCTGAAAATTCCCCACCGTCTAAAATGACTGACCATTGTGAGAAACTAGCTTCAGAAAAAGAAGGGGTAGAATGTCAAAGTATAAGTTCTGTTGAAGGTCTGGAAAAAACAGCCCCAGACATTCTAACAGAAGATTCTGATTCCATGAAGGTGGAAATGGATAATCTGGACAATACCCAGACCTCTGGCTTAGGTGATCCTTCTGAGACAAAGGATTCTGTGCAAAGAAGCAAATTTAAATATAAGTTGGTTCCTGAAGAAGAAACTGCTGCCTCAGAAAATACAGAGATAACTTCAGAAAGACAGAAAGAAGGTATCAAATTAACAATTAGGATATCTAGTCGGAAGAAGAAGGCAGATTGTCCCCCTGAAATTCTAGAACCAGAAAGCAAGCAAGAAAAGACAGAAAAAGAAGAAGAGAAAACAAATGTGGGTCGTACTTTAAGGAGGTCTCCAAGAATATCTAGACCTACAGCAAAAGCAGCTGAGATCAGGGATCAGAAAGCTGATAAAAAAAGAGGTGAGGGAGAAGATGAAATAGAAGAAGAGTCAGCAGCTTTGCAAAAAACAGACAAAAAAGATTTGAAAAAAACAGAGAAGGATACGAATTCTAAAATAAGCAAGGTAAACTTCTACTCTGAGTATTAAATTTTAATTAGAAATATTTGTGTCTATGTGTTTGTAGCTTTTTGCTTTTGACTAGAACACAATCATTCAGAGATAACTGGGTGGGACTTTATTGCTCTTAGTAGTTATCCCCAGATAATACATTTCAAATGGTATACTCTTGTTTCCTTTTAAACTTTTTTCTATTATAGGCAGAATACATCCTTTTGTAAACTGTTAAGTAATACCTACCCTGTAGGATTATTAAATGAAAACTCTTTACAACCACTGTTAATAGTTTGGAGTGCATATTGTTTCAATCCCCTTTCCATGTATTTATGTGTATTCTTTTTTTTTATGTGTGTATTCTTATAAACATTTGACCATATAAAAAATAAATTGGATCCAATCAGTTCATTTTTCTGTGAGCTCACTTAATATATAGTCCACCTTTTGTTTATTAATGAGCACATAATATTTCATAGTGTGGCTATACCTCAGTTTATTTAACCACTCCCTTATTAATTGACATTTAGGTTGTTTCCAATTTTTCACTATTACAGGCAATGCTGCATTGAAGATCCTTTTGGACATGAGTGAGTATTTCTTTAGAATAGACTCCTGGAATTGGAATTGCTGGGTCAAGGGGCATGTGTAGGATAATTTCTGATAACTATTGCCACATTGCCCTCCAAAAAGGCCCTGTAAATGTACCATCTTATCCCAGTATGTGAGGGTACCTTGTTTTCCCCTGTTTTAATCATTAGTCTTAGAAGCCAGAATCCTCTTTTATGTGTTGCTCTTATATTAAGAAAAATCTTTTAAAAGTTGTTGGCTGTAGTCTACATAGCGAGTTCAAGGCCAACCTACACTACTACGTGAGACACTGTCCCAAGAAAAACAAAAAAAAAGTCATTGGCTATCTATTGGAGTTCATTATAATCAAAAATGCTGCTTTTGCTTTTAATTTATTTAAATGACCAGATTTTTCTTCATTGTAAGTGATCCTCAGTTCCCTGAAATACTAAATTTTTAATTGTTTACTTTTAAATCATTTTTTTTTCCTTTTAGAATTATTTTGTTTTTAGCTGGAGGCCTATAATGAGAGAATGATGTGAAATACAAGTTAAAAGATTGTAAAACTAGACAATAAAAAGCTGTTTGCAGCATTGTAAATTCAAGTTTGTCAAGATTTTTATATCTTTGACAAGATGATCAAGATTTTTATATCTTTATATCTTTTAAGTGGCCCACTTAAAAATTTTAAGATCATTTCTAATATAGGCTTTAAAATAAAACAGTGAATATGTTGTCATCTTTTTGTTATTGATATAGCCTTTAAGATGTGCATGGCCTTTGACCCAGAATCCTCTTCGAGGAATTTATCCTAACCACAGAAGTTTTTGTAAAAATTTTTATTTACAAGTAAACATTGTTTATGAAAGTGAAAAAATGGGAAACAACTATCTAAATGTCTAAGAGGGGATTAGATTAATACAGTCATGTGATGGCATATTATTCAGTCATTTATATTGATGTTAGGAAAATATGAAGAAGTAAAATATTTATAAGACAGTAATCATTTTTGTTCCATTTTTGAAAACCAACAAAATAATGGAAATGTATACCAGAATTTAATAGTGGGTGTATCTGACAATGAGATGATAATTTTTTCTTTATTAACTAAATAGTCCACAAAAGATATAATCAGACATTTAAAAACATTTTTTCTTATCATATCAGATTATCTTAATTTTATTTTATGCAAGGTAAAACCTAAAGGCAAAGTTCGATGGACTGGTTCTCGAACACGTGGTAAATGGAAATATTCCAGCAATGATGAAAGTGAAGGCTCTGACAGTGAAAAGTCATCTGCAGCTTCGGAAGAGGAAGTAGAAAAGGAAAGTGAAGAAGCCATCTTAGCAGATGATGATGAACCATGCAAAAAATGTGGCCTTCCAAACCATCCTGAACTAGTATGTACCTGATCTAAGTGAGCAATACTTAGTGCTTGCTTCAGCAGCACATATACCAAATGAGCAATATTTGTATTACAAATATGTTATGGTTGACTGGAGCAGCCTAATCCTTCTGGGGTTTATCATTATTTGAATTTTTTTTAATGTTACTGAGCTTGTATTCTATAAAGTAACTTTTATTTCTTTCTCTCAACAACCCTTTTTGAAGAAGGACAAGGATCAGCATCTTGCTTTCATTCTACCTGGCATATATATTGGTATTTTCTCTACTTAACAGCAATGCACCCCTGATCTCTTCTCACATTTCAGTGAGTTTATTCAAAACTTTCTATCCTGGTTGGACACAATGGCACATGCCTATAATCTTAGGTACTCTGGAGGCTGATCCAAGAGAATCACAAGTTTGAGGCCAGCCTGGGCAACTTAGCACCCTGTCTCAAAGTGAAAAATAAGGGATGGATACATAGCTCAGTGTTAGGATGCCCCTGGATCCAATCCCCAGTATTGTTAGGGAAAAAACAACAAAAACCAAAAACTTGTTCTCTAAATTTTTCTTCTTTCCCTTTTAAGTTATAATTTTGAAATACCAGCTTTAAGTAAGTTAGATCTGAAGGCCTCATTGCTTTCCAGTAAAAATATATAAATCAAATAGTAACCTAGTAGGACTTTAAATTTTGTTTTAATGGATGGTTGTAAAAATTTTTTTTGAGAATTATAAACCAGATATATTCAGAATAGTACCAGATTTATATGGCATTTTCTTATCCAAGAAGTAAGCTCTTCCAAGGTGGCCTACATTAGGACAACCAGTTCCTAATCTATATACATTATGTGCAGTTCATTAGAGAGTTTATTCACTCTTATTGTGCCTGATTCTGTGTGACTCAGCTATTCTTGTAAATACATTTAAGTTTAAAGGCAAACTGCAACTATGAAGTAGAAAGAAGTATAAGGAGTGATCCTTCTACATGAAATGTGTGGAGCAGAAATGTTATAAGATCCTCTAATGTAGTAGTGGTAGCAAAACTATACCACACATGCCACAGCGGGCTATTGGTTATAACTGAAACCCCTAAAAAGTTCACCATTGCTGCTCTAAAGTTTTACACATACATAAGAGCTAGTCCTCTAGGCCCTGTAGTGTGATGTGGGAAAAGCATGGGGCCAAACAAACATGGTTCAGATCTTCCTTCTACCACTTAGCAGGTACTATCTTCTCTTATTTTGATGTCTTCATTGAAAAATTAGACTGTCACTACATGTTTAAAAACTTATGTAAAGTTGCCTAGCAAAGTTCCTGATATCTGTTATGTACTGGGGTAAGAGTTAATTCTGGTTTACCTTTGTTTCTAGAAACTAAATGAGTGAATTTTATCATATCCCTGTAGTTTCTGAAGTTTCATGTAAAAGATGTAGGTTGGAAATGACTTTCTCTGTGAAGAGTAGATACTGAAATTATGCTCAGAAGATTGTTCTGAGCATTTTTTGATCGTCAAGGCTATGAAAGTTTAAATTTTTGTTTTGTTTTGTTGTTGTTGTTGTTTTTGTACCGGGGATCGAACTCAGGACCTTGCAGTTTCGAGGCAGGCATGGTGCCACTGAGCTAAATCCCCGGGCCCTGAAAGTTCAAATGTTTATGCAGCAAGGTGAAGAGAAGATTTGAGATAGCCTTTTCTGGCTTCTAAATCAGGGAATAAGCAGTGCTTTTCTGTTATTTACTTACATTTTTCTAATGTCCTGTTAAGCAAAAAGAGTGCATATTTACTTAAGGCAGCAGTAGCTGTCCGTGACAAAGGGGGTGAGAGGAAAGAAGTAAAATGGAGTGAGCAGAAATAAGGGGGAAAGAGTTGTCCCCTTCTGGGAGAACATACAGAATTTGTATTTATTTTAATGACCACGTGGAAAATCTCATTGTTGCAAGGAGAATGACATTAGTTACTTAAGGTCTCTGTACTGCAAACATGTACTAATAAAAATAAAAATTTGGAAAAAAATGTAACTGAAGATCTCAAAATATGATAGATTTCTCATGTCAAGTGTTTAAGGGTAATCCTCAAAACAGAATAAGCACCTATTATATGTTCAGTGGTAGGGATAGGATGCTGAACTAGAAATAAATGCTCCTTGTCCTCATTGAGCTTATAGCTGAAAAGCAATAAATTCATAACTAAATGTAAAACTGTAGCATTTGTCAGATGCATTAGTCAGAATAAGTAGATCTATGTCTTAGGCTTAGCTGTCTTACATGGTATTCAGTGACAGTTTGTCTTTACTGTGGAGTAGAGATGGTGTTCATTTTAGGAATAAGCTAAATTAGGAATGTTTATTTGTAATTTTTATTATTCAAAGTTTAAAATATGTTTTACCATGAAAACAGTTTAATAAATGGAATTGGGTGCCTGTGTGACGTGCTCCTATAAAACCAATCATGTAATTGGTGTACAACATACTAGAACTTACTACTAAATTTTGGGCATTGTGATCAAGTGGTAATTCATTATATGGAGAGGGAAAAAAGTAGTTTTCCACTTTTAACCTTTTCTCCCCCGTGGCTTGAGTTAGAAACTACGTGTATACTAGGGTTGAGCAAATAAAGTGTACCTAATAGGAGACAGGTTCCTCACTTTTAGCAAAACCAACAGTAAAATGAACCTTATCGTGGTTGATTAGAGCTGGAAATATTAGGATGAACTCATGCATATTTAAATATCTATACAGAAATATAGGTGTTGTGTGTGTGTGTGTGTTTAGATACACACAGTGGTACCTTGGTTTACAAACTTAATTTGTTTTATGACTTGGGGGAAGATGGGTGTGTTTGTATGGGGAAGATGGCCATGGTTGTGTTTGTCACCCGCTGCTGAGTTTGCAAAGGGAAGAGAAATTTTGTTGAATGCTTTTGTGTGCTAACTGAATTGTTTGCAAAACAGAAACATTTGTTAACCAGTCCTCTTAAAAGAGCTTAACATTAGTGATATCTAATAGTGGTGAACATTCAGACCACCCAGACTTTGATTTCTAAAGGGTATTTTTCCAATAAAAGAATCAGAGCTTTTTTGGAGAAATGATTGATTCTAAGGCTTGGGCAGGGAAAATATAAGATGTGCCTGAAGCATTCTGTAGAACCAGAAAGTGAGGAAGTACTTTAAAATAATAAACAGAGAAACATATAAGCAAGCAAACAGATAAATCCTGAGGACACAGAAGCCAATGTGGGGGAGTGTCCATTGTGCCTGTGGCTGGAACAATTTCAAGAACAAAGTAAACACAGGATATTTGCATAGATTATTATACCTTTCTTGGGACCAAACTTGGGACCTTTCGCTGCCAGGCAGGCAGGCGCAGCACCACTGAGCTACATCCCCGGCCCCCTCCAAAATATTTGTACAATAATTTATTAATTACTATAGTGATTTAATTATGTCCAAAGCCCATAACTCCAGTCTAATAATGAGAACACATTGCACAAACCCAAATTCAGGGACAGTCTATAAGATATTGGACTAGTATTCTTTAGACCGTCAAAGCATGGAAAACAGATGGAAAGACTTACAGATAGGAGAGGAAGGAGACATGACTAAATGCAGTGTAGTAGTCCTGGGATTTAGAATCAGAAAAAGCACAATTAGTGGAAAAACTTGTAAAATCTGATATTGTACTCAATTTTAATTTGTTTGTTTTTTTACCTGTCCTTGTGGTTATGTAAGATTTTAACCTTGGTGAAAGCAGAGGGAAGGGTATATGGGAACTAATATTTTTGTAACTCTTCTTTAAATCTAAAATTGTTTAAAAATTAAATGTTTTTTAGTTAAACATTCATGAATGTACCATGTTAAATTTTTTTTTTTGGTACCGGGATCAAACTAGGGTCCTTGCACTTGTGCAGCAGGCGGCAAAACCACTGAGCTAAATCCCCGGCCCTTCATGTTACATTTTAGAGAGTTAGTCCTCTTAAACTCAGGGAGCAATAAAATAGCAACTGTAAGACTAATTGTTATTTTTTTTTCGGTACCAGGGATCGAATTTGGGTCCTTGTGCTTGTGAGGCAGGTGGCGGAACCACTGAGCTAAATCCCTGGCCCAAGACTAACTGTTGTTATAGTAGTCTTCATGTTTGAACATATGGTTCTGAATATAGTTCCGTTCCTTTTCTATGTCTCAGTCCTTCATTTAAATTTGTAGGCTAAAAGGAACTATGTGGGTTTCTAATATATAGGTGTTTGAAATGCTATTAAAATTGAATTTTTTCATAATTTTAAAATTCTATATGTGGTAGATTAGTTTCTGATACTTGAGCTTTAAAACGTTGTTATATAAAAAAAAAGTTGTTATAAATCATGCTGTTACTACCTTTATGACACACTATAAAGTGATTCTAACTCTTGTTTAGAAAGGACTTGTTATTTTTCACTTAATTTTGTACCTTTACATTTTCTTAGTGTTTTGGGGGGTGGGGGTTAAATTTTTTTAAAAATTGGCATGTCAGAGCTCAGATTATCAGAGCTGTTTTATTCATTACTTTTATGCACATGAAGAATACTTTGCAATAGAGTACTAAGAAATATTAAAATGTCATTATCTTAAGAGTCATATGATTTAGTCATAGTTAGGTTGACCTCAATGTGGTTTATTTCAGATTCTTCTGTGTGATTCTTGTGACAGTGGATACCACACCGCCTGCCTCCGCCCTCCTCTGATGATCATCCCTGATGGAGAATGGTTTTGCCCCCCTTGTCAACATGTATGACCCAGCCCAGCCCTTGGTTTTATATCCAAATTAATAATACTTTTTAACAGTCACTGAATGTCTTCCAGTCTCAAAGCAATTTGTAAATAGTGTTGCCTCTTGTTTAGATGTCTACCTTTTATTAATCTCTTTTAGGTCTTCTTTTTTGCTTTTTCCAAAGCAATCCTCAGAATTCCTCCAACTTTTGTAAAATCATCATGGATTTCTTTCTCACACTTGTTATATGCCCACAGAACACTAAATTTAGATAAATACAGGGAAATAAATGTCTATAGTTTATCTTGTTCTAATATTTCATTTCTGCCTATCTTCTTTTTGGTAGTTTTATTAATATCAGGATTAGAAGAAACATGGTTCTTTATGATTCAGATTAATTTCTTTTTTTTTTTTTTGGTACTGGGGATCGAACTCAGGACCTTGCGCTTGCAAGGCAGGTGCTGAAACCACTGAGCTAAATCCCCAGCCCTTCAGATTAATTTCTTTTGAGACTGAAGAGTAGGATATTTCTGTGCCACTGTAATAACCAGCCATTTAGGTATCTTATCTTACCAGCCCACACTCATTTTGCTTTTAAAGTGATGGAAGTTAACATCTTTCAGTGAAGTATATTTCTGTGGCTTAGCATAGCTTTGCCAAATATATTTTTCAAGGTCAGTAATCATGGCATTGTTTTGTACATTTTTTTCAATCTGTTTTTTAAAAAATTTAGTTACTGGGACTTCTATATAGTATTCTCCCTTAAAATGTCTTGAATCTTTTTGTTTTAATTATAAACATTGTTTTGTATATGGTTGAACCAAATACTATTTTTACAAGTTTATTGGAATACTGGGGATTGAACCCAAGTAAGCTACATCCCCAGCTCTTTTTTTAAAAAAAATTTTATTTTGAGACGGGGTCTTGCTAAGTTATACAGAATGAGCTTGCACTTGTGATCCTTCTGCCTCAGCCTCCCAGAGTGCTGAGATTACAGGCGTGTGCCACCATGCCTGGTTCCAAATGCTATTTTAAACATGGACTACTGCTAGTGAGATAGGAACAGAATGTGGTAGGTTTTTTTTTTCTCCTGGCAGAGCTATTTAAGTTTCTCTAATGTGTGTTTCTCTGTGCTCATTTTCCCTTCAGTGGATGCTGAAGCTGAAGTACCTCTTTAAATTAAACACAAGCTTCAGTATTCATTTATCATATGGCCCCTTGTCTGCTCTTACAGCACAATACCCATGAGCTTAATATGTATGTGATAAATTATTGTGGAAAGGTGTTTAAAATGACATACGTTTTGCTCCTTTCAGAAGCTGCTGTGTGAAAAATTAGAGGAACAGTTGCAAGATTTGGATGTTGCCTTAAAGAAAAAGGAGCGTGCTGAAAGAAGGTATTTGTGTGTGTGTTAATGTTTTGTTTAGGAATTTGACAATTATTTTGCAATATAAATGAATGAGTCTGTCTGAAGCCGAAATTGGCAAACTGCAGAGCGAGGATCAAATCTGGCCTGCTTCTTATGTTTATATTGCCTGCTAAGAATGGTTTTGTGTTTTTAAATGGCCGACAAAAAACAAAACTATTTAATCATATTTCATGACACATGAGAATCAATACTCAGATTTCATTACCCATAACTAAAATTTTATTGGGACACAGCTTTGTTCATTTGTTTGTATATTATCAGTGGTTGTGCTCGCTTTGGCAGCACATATACTAAAATATTATCAGTGGTTGCTTTCGCCCTACAGTAGTAGAGTTGAAGAGTTGCAGTAGATACTTAATGACTCACCAAGCTTGAAAAATTTGCTATCATTTCCTTTCACGGAAAAGTTTGTCAATCTTTTGAGTATTTTTCAGTACCTACTGTGAATAAATGTTAGCCCAAGTAGAGATTTTGCACTTAACTACCATAGTGAACATAAGAAAACTGTAAAGAAAACTTTAAGAACTAGCCTAAAATTTACTCTGGTCATCTCTTCGCACAGGCAGTGTTAACATTGCTGAATAAAAATCATTTAATTGGTGCACTGTGTCTTATGACTGTAACAGATGCCTCCATTTCATTATGCCACCACAATGGTCTACAGTAGTTGAAGAAAGTTTCTTAGAGGAAGCAGAACTGAACTTTAATATTTAAAAAGGAGTTCAGGGGCTGGGGATTTAGCTCAGTGGTGCCTCGCCAGCACAAGGTCCTGAGTTCAATCCCCAGTATCAAAAAAAAAGTTTAGAATCAAGATGGTAAATTTTTATTTGTGAGTTCCTTTTTCTTTCCTTTTTTCCCCCCAAGATAAGTCTCCCTATATAGTTCAGACTGGGCGTGAATTCACTATGCAGCCCAGACTGGCCTCGAACTCACACTGATCCTCCTGCCCCAGCCTTCCAAGTGCTGGGGTTACAGGCATGCACCACCACACTAGGCTGATATTTGTACTTTCTTTAGTCTATTTCTACACGTTATTCACACCTACTATACCAAACTGAAAAGATGAATAAGACAAAGCTCTTGCTTATATGAAGCTCACATTATGTGAGAGAATCCAGATGCATGAACCAATGATACAGTAAAATAGAGAAATCAAGTTATATTGAAAATAATACAAGGACATCATAGAGGATCTTACTAGTTTTCCTAGGAGTTGGGGTTTTCAGGAAAACTTTGGAAGATAAAGTTATGCAGATGGACATGCAGAGAAGAGATATCCAGGCAGTGAGCACAAACACAAGCAAAGGCAGAGTAAAAGTGAGGATAGGAAAGTAGGGCTGTACCTCTGTGAAACCTGAGCAAGTCCAAATTGCAAACAGCTCTGCACACACCTCACTATGGAATTTGAGTTACTCTCTGTAATCACTTAGAAAACCATCAAAGGAGGGATATAATGTTTATTTCATTTAAAAAATGCTTAAGTAATAGAAAAAGGGATTAGAATTAGGGTATTGGCAATATACAGTGTAAAAGCCTATGAGACCTGCATGAGAGTAATCTTTGTTATAGGAAGGCAGATGTGTTGGAGATGATTTTCAGAGGATTAATCTATAGGACTTAACATTGAGTGTTTTGGGAGGTTTTTTTTGGGGGGGGGGTTGTACCAGGTATTGAACTCAGTACCTTGCACTTGCAAGGCAGGCGCCAGAACAACTGAGCTAAATCCCCAGCCCGAGTTTTTTTTTTTTTAAAGTACTGTGAATTGAACCTAGGACCTTCATACTGAGCTACATTTCCAGCCATTTTTTTATTCTGAAACACAGTCTTGTTTGGATCCTTTAACTTGGGTCCTCCTGCCTCAGCCTCCCAAAGTGCTGGGATTATAAGTGTTCCTTATTGTCCATTTGTATTCTAGTATAGTATGAGAAAAATCTAAGCGATGCCTCCTGATTGGTTTTTATTGTCCTCATTTGGTACTCTTTTAACTTGTATCCTTTGACTCATGGTGTGTCTCCCAAAATTTAGTTTTCCTTTAGGCATTTAGCTAATTCTATAATCTACTCATTTTGCCCCATGCAAAAATAAACCTTAGTAAATGCCACCTCCAGAACTTGTTTGTTTTGTATTTTGAGGAAGGGTGTCACTGTGTAGTTCAAGCAGGGCCTTGAACTCACTGTGTAGCCCAGGCTGGCCTTAAACTCATACTGACCCTCCTGCCTCAGCCTCCTGAGTGCTGGAATCACAGGTGTGTGGCACTATGTGCAGCTTTTCTTTTCTTCCCTTAACTGTTCAGTTTGAGTTATCTGGGTGATAAAAGAGTGTTCTCTCTGCTACTTATTTTATAGACAATCTTTAAAGTTGAATAGGCTTTTAAAAATCATTTTGTCTAAAAATAAATAAAAATTTTAAAAAGAAAAAATATTTTTGTGTAAATATTCTTGAATTTAGAAACCATGAGTTATTTCCATAAAGAGCATATGTTTCCAATATTTATAATATTTTCCAAGAATGTTTTCAAAAGTAGAGTAATTCTACATAAAATTATTAGAACTATTTTGATGTGCTAGGTTTCTCCCTTTTTTTTTGGTACCGGGGGTCCTTGCGCTTGCGCAGCAGACGAAGAAACCACTGAGCTAAATCCCCGGCCCTCTCCCATGTTTTAAAAATTTAATTTAATTAATTTATTTTTTTGGTACTGAGGATCGAACTCAGGACCTTGTGCTTGGCAAGGCAGGCGCAGTGCCACTGAGCTACATCCCCAGCCCTCCCATTTTTATTTTTGATACTGGAAAATATCTAACAGATGCTTTAAATTAAATCTGAAATAATCATTTGATTTTCCTTTGCCTCAGTCTTTCTCAAATCTGCCTGTCCTTAGAAATTGAGGAGTATTCCTTTGCTTTCTTTAGTAGGAGAGATAGAATTAGAACTAGGATGTTGCAATAGTGTTGGTAATCCTTTTTATTTAAATGTCATCCTTTCTAAGAAGAGATCTCTAATCGTGGTTTTTAGATCACATACTGAGTCCTAGATGAGATTGAGTCACATAGAAAGGAGAAAAAAGTTACCGTTTCATGAAGACCCATGTGAACTAGTTAACTGAATTGTTGCTGTTTGCCAGTTCTCAATCTGGTTAACAAAGCTTTTGTTACTATAGCTCCTAGGAGATAGATAGAGATGATAGAGATAGATATGAATTTTGGGAGTTCCAGATAGTAGGACAGGTTTTTCTAAAATAAGTGCTTATTAACTGTAAATCTAAGTGGTTTCATCTATTTTTCACATGTGCTTTTTTCTCATTCATTATAAAAATTGTGAAATAACTTACCTACAGCTCATCCTAACAGCTTAGAATCTTACTTCATGTGTTCCTAGGACAAAAGCATCCTTTCTCTTGTTTCCAGTTTTTTCCTTTTTGTGCATTTAGTCAAGTTTTATTTGGTATCTTTTCCGCGAGACCAGTCATGGTGAACATATGGTACGCATTCCACAGCTGGCTATTTATTGTCATTGAAAGCTCTGAAAGATTGACCATCATTGCACTAGACTCCAGAGCTCTTTGAGGTAAAAAGCAGTATATTCAAGATGAAGAAGTGATCTCTACCTCAAAGAGCTCTACAGTCTAGTGGAAAAGTGAGTGTTTTGTGATAATGCTGCATGAAATCTGTTGTAGAACTCGACTCAATAATTTATAAACATCTTCTCCAGAGCTTGGTACCAGATAGGTCCAGTACTTCCAGAGTGCTATGACTAATACTTTACCGGCAGAGAGTTGGATTTAGTCAGGGTTGAAGCTTTCCAGATAATATAAAGAGGGAAAGAGAGGGACATGGAATTTGAATGTGTGTGCAAAAGAGTATTTGTAATAATGGACCCCCCAGGTAAGGGGGAAAGAAGTACATTAAGAGGGTGATGGATAGTGTTTAAAAGAAGGTAAGGCCAGTGGATAGAAGTCCTGCTGGAGTCAAAAGAATTGTCAAAATCAGTACAAAGTGGAATAAGCTGGAAATTGAGCTAGTAGAAATCAATAAATAGGATGCCTGAAATTGGAATTTTGGAAAGAGTATGGTTATTGATAATGATAAGGTCTGGTTTAAATATGATAATTGAGCTAGGTAGTAAGATGGAATGGAAGGTGTATCTTTCCATAACATTACTGCACAAGAGAATGATGTGAAGAGAAATACTTACCTTCAAGATCCTGCTCAAATGTTACCACCTGTTTAAAACTTTCTCAGCTTTCTCACCTCTTCAGACGAGATTAATCTGTACCTTTTCCATGCTTCCATTGTACTTGTTCATAATGGTCTCTAGTCACTTATTAAATAATTGTAAGGGAAGCAGCTATATTATATGTAACTACAAATTTCTCATCCTGGCCTAGTATGGTGAATGTGAAAAGTGATTTTTAGTTGAATTGAGGAAAGAAATAGTGGCCAAGTGAAAGTAGAGATTTAAAGATATAAAGAAAAAAATTGATATCTCAGTAAACACAGTTATTGTAAGGATATATACTGGGGGCAAGCAAAATAATGACTGTTAAGTTTTAAAAAGGTATTACAGTAAAAGACACATTGCCATTAATCTCTTTTAAGATATTCCACTCATTTTGAATATTTACCCCATTGTTCTCTGAACTTTCTGAAGCAGTTCTGGAAATTCTCTTTTCTAAGTGTCTTTAAGTGTAATGAAAACTGTAGTGGATGCTGCTGCCTTATGCCATCTAGTGGAAAAGGCAGGCTTGTAAAAACGTTATTGTGTGTCTTCATGCACCTTATTCACTGGATCTGGTACCATGAGACTTCTGGCTATTTCTTAAAATCAAAATGACCATGAAAGGTAAATGTGTTGAGTTCATTTAGGACATCCAGTCAGCCACGACACCACAATTAAAGACAGTCACAAAAGAGGACTTTGAGAAAGTAGCAAGAATGATAGGATACTTATGTTCTTAGGGACAGGGAGTATTCTGAGGGGGATTTATGGCTTTATGTGTTTTAAACATTCACCATATTTTGCAGTTGCACGTTTAATTATATGTGTCACATATTTAATAAGAGATAGTTCAAGCCATGAAGTCTTCCTTGGACTAGTTCTTCTTTCAAGTAACTCTGTTCTTACCTTTCATTAGGTTTTTATTAAAATTAATTTATCATTTTCATACATGACAGTTTTTATTTCATTGTTTCATAACCTATCTATGGGATTCTCCTTAATAAGTCAAGGATTTATAGGTGTGTCAATCAGATTTCGGAGGTTTCAGTCCATAGTCCATTGGTTCTGTTGCTTTGGGCCTGAGGTAAGGCTGAACATTATGGTGGAAGGGTGTGGTAGAACAAAGCTGTTTAGCTCATGGCATCTGGGAATCCAAGAAAGAGAAAAAGCCAGAGAAAAGCAGGGGCAAGGTAGGCCTTTGAAAAAGTGAAAGTAGAAGGAAAAAATGGAAACAAAGCTTTTGTACATAGGAAGGATGGAGGGGGCTTGGGGGGAGGGGGCTTGAGGGGAGGAAGGGGATAAAATCAAATACAATTTATTTAAAAAGACAAAACAAAACAAAAAAGATAGGCCCTTCAAAGGCACAGCTCCAGCAACCTGTGTGCTGCACCTGGGCCTCAATTCCTAATAATTCATTCGAGGTTATTCATCTATTCATGATTCATGCTGACTCAATGAAGTCAGCAGTTCTCCTCTGTCTTGCCCTTTTATGAAGGTGTTTCTGCCTCCTCACAGGCCTAAAACAATGGAGGCAACTAACCATGGACTGACCCTTTTGAGTCTGCACCAGAATAAACCTTCCCTTTAAATTGTTTTTCCCAGGCATTTTGTCACTGTCCTGGAATGCTAACAGTTTAGAGCAGTAAAGGCTGTACTCTCAAAGGACCAGTCAAGTAGATCCATTAATTTCCCTCCAGAAGGGATATTACAAGTAAAAGGAGGAAGAATTGTGACTGTTTTAATTCATTTTAACATATCCTGGCATGTCAGAATTCAGTTATCTGTATTGTATTGGATTAACTTCACAAAAGTGAGAAAAGCTCCTGTAGTATATAGTTGTAAGATTTGTTGAATTAAAATCAATGAAATGAAACTATGGAAATGCCATTGGTGGTTCATATCCTCATTTTCTTGCTTTAAAGATTCCTTTATTGTGGCATTATAGAATGCAGAGCCATGGGTGGGGGATTTAGCTCAGTGGTTCTGCCACCTGCCCCACAACCGCAAGGTCCTCAGTTCAATCCCCGGTACCAAAAAAAAAAAAGAGACTGCAGAGCCATATCTCAGCATTGGTTTTTATCTTTATAACAAAAAGTGAGTAATCTTAGTGTCATTTACTGGGACCTTGAAAAGGTTTTGTTATGCATAATTATTTTTTATAGTGATACATGTTATCATAAAATTATAATTATTTATATAAACAGTATTACTAAAAACGTCTTCTAACATTAAAAAACACCTAGTTTAGGGCCTGGGGATTTGCCTCAGTGGTTCTGCCGCCTCCCTCGCAAGTACAAGGTCCCGAGTTCGATCTCCAGTACCACCCCCCCCAGCACCTAGTTTATTTAAAAACCTAGTTTATCCAATCAAAGCTGGCTTTCCATCTAATCATGTAATCAAGTTATATCATGGCAGTTGGATGTGGTGGTATATGCTTGTAGTCCTGCCGCTCCGGGTGGCTAAAATGAGGATCACAAGTTCAAGCCCAGCCTGTGCAGCTTAACAACTTAGCAAGACCCTATCTCAAAAAAAAGAAAGAAAAAAGGACTGGAGATATAGCCCTGTGTTGTGGCTTTTGTCTAAAAATTCCCCCAAAGCCTCACACAGTCATAGGTGGGGCTTTTCAGAGTTGGCTGGATCTAGTGTGTGTAAGATGCTGGGCTTAAGGGTGTGTGATTACTAAATTAGTCCACTGATTGGTTTGGCATGACTCTGGATGTGGATAATGGAAAGGACCACCCTGGGTGAGTGTGCTACTGGTCCTAAGGGCATGTAGCCTAGATAGAATATAAGGGACTGAAAGAGGGCTGCTGTCATTGTTTGCTGCTTTGCTACCTTGCTGCTTTCTGCCTTCTGCCTTCCATGAACTGTTTTTCCTCTGCAGTGCCCCTCTGCTGTGCCACTTGCCTTGAAGCCTGCTGATTATGAGCTGAAACTTCTACAAACTGAGCTACAATAAACCTTTCCTCCTTTAACTTTGGGCGTTGGGTATTTTGTCTCAGCAATGAGGAAAGTAACTAAGACACCCTAGATTCACTCTCCAGTACTGGGGAAAAAAAAGTTACAGCATGGACTTTTCATGAAGGTTTTATTTCACTGGTATAAGTCAGTTCAAAAAAATTAGTATACATTTATGTAGAAAATTTAGTACTTCCCACAGATACCAATACTGTGTTGTTTTATAAATTATAGCTACTATGTCTGTGATTTAGCCTTTATATATTATGAAATTGTAATTTGATTGTTGTGTGCATTAGTGATATTTTCTTAGCAATTTTATTTTTAACAAATCTTATTTTGTGTGTGTTTGTTCTTTTATTTAAAGGAAAGAACGCTTGGTATATGTGGGTATCAGTATTGAAAACATCATTCCTCCACAAGTAAGTTTATGGTTTATAGTGTTCATAAAGAAAAGACTGCTATGATTGTTCTAAAATTTACTCTACCTTATATTTTGCAACTAGTTTTAAATATATACCTGTTTTATTAAAATTGGAAGTTTAAGACCTTAGTGAGATTGCCCGTAGTCTCTCATGGTTGATATTATATGTATACCTAAAACTGTGATATCACATTCAAACTAAAATTTATAGCTAATTCCTTTGGAGTATATGTCCTGTTATTTTTTACCATAATCTGGGTAATCTGTGTTTAGTTTTTTTGGGTATTATTTATGTGAAATGACTTTGTTTATTTTTTTATTGAGACAGGGTCTCATTTTCTATTTCAGGCTGGCCTTGAACTCTGTGTAGCCCAGGTTGGCCCTGAATTCAAGGCAATCCTCTTGCCTTAGCCTCTCAAATTCTAGGATTATAGGCATGTACCACCATGCCTGGCGCTTTATGTAAAATGATTAATGAATAGTTGAGGAAGATCTGGCTTTTTAATTTCTTGCTTTGGGAGTAATTGAAACTTTAATTTGTATTCCTACTCATAGTTTGGTTTCTTCGAAAGATTACTATTATCTTGCAGTTTTGAGTCTATAATTATAAAGGGTATTTGTGAGTGAAAATACTTGGATCATAGTTTCCCACTTGAAGATATTTTCCTCATAAACAGTTTTGTTCAGGCTTATTTAATCAGTTAAATCACAGGCTTAAATAGCTTGTCAAGTAATTTTCCTTTAGCATAATTACCTTTCTTTCAAATCGTTATTTCATTCACTCAGTATACATATCTATTGACTATCTTAAGTGTGTCAGTTAGTGGTTAAAAAGTTTTACAGTGGGGCTGGGGATTTAGCTCAGTGTTTCCGCCTCCTGCCTCGCAAGTGCAAGGGCCCAAGTTCAAAAAAAAAAAAAAAAAGTTCAATATGGAAAATCCTTGTATTACTATGAAATTATAATTGGTTGCTTAAAAATGACCAGAATGAAGTTTTTTCACTGTAAAACTTTTTTTTTTTGTTACCGGAGATTGAACTCGGGACCTTGCACTTCCGAGGCAGGAGACAGAACCACTGAGCTAAATTCCCAGCCCAGTAATACAAGTATTTTAATACAGAAGTGTTTAATCTTTTGATCACAACTGTTCCTTTTTTGGTCTATATGATAATTAGTATTCCCATATATATTCGGTTTGTGGAGGGTCATCTCAAACTTTTTCAAACTTTTAACATTGCTGCCTAGATGGAGATTGCAGAAATGTTACTTCTGAGAAACTTTATTCTATCATATCTATGTACTTACTATATTTTTAAAGGAACCAGATTTTTCTGAAGATCAAGAAGAAAAGAAAAAAGATTCAAAAAAATCCAAACCAAACTTGCTTGAAAGAAGGTCAACAAGAACACGGAAATGCATAAGCTACAGGTATGAATTATATGGAAATGGCTATAGTCAAAGAGTATAAAATATTTTTATAATTAGCATGACCCAAAAGCATTTGCCTTTCCCTTCACAATGATTTTTAGTAGTTGTATATACAGGTATCTCTTGGTATCTGCAGGGAAGTGATTCTAGGACTGGGAAGCTGAGAATGTAGTTCAGTGGTGGACCATATATTTAATCCTTAGCACCACAAGGAGGAAAAAAAATTCCAGGACTCCCATGGATATCAAAATGTGCAGATACTCAGATCCCTTGTATAAAAATGTAGTGCTCACATATAACCATCACATCTTCTCTTATATTTGAAATATCTCTAGATCACTTACAATACCTAGTACAATGTAAATGTATTAGATTTTACTGTATTGCTTAAGTAATAACAGGAAAAAAAGTGTAGATATTAATAAATTTTTCCCTCATATTTTTAATCAGCAGTTGGTAGAATCCATAGATGTGAAACACTTGACTACTAAGGACCATCTATATATTTCTTACTTTTCATCTTTAGTGCCACACAATTTTGGAGCAGTTATCTTTTTCAAACATAAATATCCTCAGGCCAAGGTGGGAGGATTACCATGAGTTGGTGGATAGCCTGAACTACCCAGTTCAAGGCCAGCCTGAACTCAAAAAAAAGAAAAGTCCACAATGCACTATATAGTCTTATCTCTATTTCCATTCCAGCTCCATCATCCACATTCTTCCTTACCCACTGTACATTCACTGCACTGTCATTTTGTGGTCTCTGCATGTGCTGTTTGCTTTGTCTGCCATTTTCATCTCGTTTTTACTTTGTTAACCTTTCCCAGATCAAATTTCACCTTTACATACCTTCATAACAACCAATTCTTCTCTGAAAGCACTTGCATTTATATCATGTGTGATTAAAATTATCTCATTAGGGGCTGGGGATTTAGCTCAGTGGTTTCACCATCTGCTGTGCAACCGCAAGGACCCAAGTTCGATCCCCGGTACCAAAAAAAAAAAAAATTATCTCATTAGTTTCTTTCCCCCACTAGACTGTTAGTATAAAAGGTAAAGATGGCACCCGGGAATTTAGCTCAGTGGTTCCACTGCCTGCCTCACAAGTGCAAGGTCTCGAGTTCAATCCCTGGTACCAAAAAAATAAAAAAGTAATGACCATGTCTTAGCATCCTTGTGTACCCTACACCTATTCAGCATCGTGTTGACAAATAATAAAAGCCTAAATAGTAAAAGAATTAACAAATGTAATCTGGTTTCCTTTTGTTGCCACAGATACCAGAGGAGATATTTTTTCCATTATCATTCTCTTAGTCACTTAGCCTATTAAAACCTTATCATTTGATTGTTTCCTCATCTAATCTTCTTTCCACTAAATCATACTGTCTCACTCAAATAATAAATTTTTGTTATTTAAAAAGAAAAGCAGGGCTGGAGGCTTAGCTCAGTGGCACCAGCACTTGCCTGGAAAGTGCAAGGTCCTGAGTTTGATCCCCAGTTCCAGAAAAAATAAAAAGAAAAGCAAATGCGACATGCATGTAATTCCCACATGTGGGTGGCTGAGGCAGGAGGGTCACTGAGTTTGCGGTTAGCCTGGGTTATATATTAAGTTCAAGACCTACCTGAAGTATATAGTGAGACCTTGTCTCAAAAAAACAAACAAACAAAAGGAAAACAAGGTAGATAAAAATTTTTAAAGGATATAGCTCAGTGGTTCTATCACCTGCCTTGCAAGCACAAGGACCCAAGTTCGATCCCCGGTACGAAAATAAATAAATAAAAATAAAGGATATAAATGTAATAAAAATGAGAGTGATATTTAAATGATTAAGAAATTCATAAATACAATAAATGGGTCATTTAGCTTTGAAAAAGGTTTGTAGAAGTGGAGGGTGGTAGTTTGTAAATTATGATGTGGGGAAAGAAGCATTGTCTGAAATCAAGCAGAAATGTTTTAAATTGCATGTATTTTGTGTATTCCTATGCAGCTCTGTTCTGCTAGGTGCAGTTTTCTGTATTCACCTAGTGTGTCTCACAAATCAAACAGCACATTAGCTACTGTAAGATAACATGTTATGCAGTTGTTTTATATCAGTTACATTGAGCAAATTTGCATTTTCAAAGCAAGCATTGTAGCAGAAATGATTATGTGGTCCTCTGATCCTGATGTAATTGTGGATAGAAAAGCAGAGATGTTATTAAGAAATTCATCACTATCATCATTTAATAATTGTTTTCTGATTCTTAACTAGAGGGAGGATTAGACTGAGGATCAAAGATTAAAAGTATAGTCTTCACCACTTACTGGCATGTGTCTTTGAGTGATCCATGTACCTTTTCTTAGTTGCCACATCTGTGATGATGAATCATCACAGATCATTCCTTACAGGTCTAAAGTTGTATAATGTTAATATAGGAACTTATAGTAAACTACTTTTTTTAGCATAAAATGTATTACTTTCCATAGTCTACCTACTACTCAAGATTTATATAACTTTAGTATAAGGAGTAACTTGAAGCATAACACCAAAATCAGAAATAATAATGGAAAAAAATATTTGATTACATAAAAATTAAAAACTAAAAAGGACTCAAAGAAAAGCATTTACAAAGGAAAATGTGTACAGAGTAGTTAGAATTTCAAAGAAATGGCTTTTGAACTTAATAAAATGCAATGAATGTTGTTTGTTTTTTTTTTGGTACTGGGGATCGAATTTGGGACCTTGCACTTGCGAGGCAGGCACCAGAACCACTGAGCTAAAACCCCGGCCCTGAATGTTGTTTTTTCATGGTGGAAATATAGTCTTTTGTCACATGATTACAAGTAATTATTGCATATATTCAGACAATAATGTTGCTGAGGATAAGAATAGCTTTGTTGTTGCTGTTGCTGTTCTTGTTATAGACTCTATTAGTTAACCAAAGTTATAGCTTTCATTTACTTTAAAGACTAGAACCAGACAAAGATTTTGTTCATTAGAAGGGGGCAAAGGAGCCTCCCTGGAGATAGGATAGCACACTTAATAAAGGCAGCAGGACAAGATGTCAATTTTCCTTTCTCAAAACAAAATTTGCAAGAAGTTGCTATCTTTAATACAGAAAAACCTTACACATCGCTAAGTACAGATGAACACACCAGCTTAACAACTGAGCAAAGGACACAAATTGGCACTTTATCAAAAAAAAGTAAAAATGAGCAATAAATAATGAAAATAATATTTAGTCATGCTTAGTAATCAAATTAAAGTTAAAAAGACAGGAAAATAACTTTTTTCAAAGTAGGTAAAAACTTTCATGTTAAAATCACTTTATGGTTGTTAGTAGAACAACTTGCAAACCTCTTTTATATTTTTTTACTTATTTTTTGAGATGGGGGTCTCACTAAGTTGCCTGGGCTGGCCTTGAACTTGCAATCTTCCTGCCTCAGTTTTATGAGTAGCTGAGATTACATGTGTATGCCACCATGCCCAGCTGAAAGGAGCTTTATCTATAAGAAAACTGTGGGGATTATTTCATCTTGGACCTTTTCTTTAAATCAGAAGAAAGAGCCCTTGAAGTAAAAGCAAATTTAACTAGTTATACAGTTTTGATCATTGGTGTATGAATTTCCATAATAATATTATACATTTCAGTTGCAATAATAATTAATCCTAACAGTATTATTTGTAGAACAGTAGTTTTGTTCAATTTATGTTGTCGTGTGATTTTTATAATTAGGGCTAGACTGTAGACCAAATCCAGTTCAGTGCTAGTTTTTGTACATCCTGTGACCTAAGAATGGTTTTTACTTTTATAAATGATTGAAGAAAGAATCAAATAATAATTGTAATAACTAGGCCTAGCAATACACTCCTGTAATCATACCATTCTGGGAGGGTGAGGCAGGAAGATTATAAATTCCAGCCCAGGCTGGACAACTTAGTGACTTTGTCGGACCCTGTCTCAAAAGGGGAGAAGAGTGCTGGGAGTTGTAGCTCAATGTAAAGGCCTTGGGTCCAGTCTCCAGTACCACAAGGGGAGGGAATGAATGAGAATAATAATATTTTGTGAAAATTACATATAATTCAAGTTTCATTGTCCATAATAAAGTATACTTGGAATACAGCCATATTCATTTGCTTACATACTGTCTGTGCCTGCTTCTCCATTCCAGTGGCCTACTCAATAGTTACAACAAAGACTATATAATCTGCAAAGCCTAAAGTATTTAATCTGTCCCTTTTAAAAGTTTTTGATGGGCTGGGGGTGTAGCTCAGTGGTAGAGTGTTTGCCTTGCTTATGTAAGACCCTGGGTTTAATCCCCAGCACTATAAAATATTTCTGACTCTTAACCTTAGTCCACTTTGGTTGTTAATGTAAAATACTACAAACTGGATAGCTTATAAACAACAATAATTTATTTCTCACAGTTCTGGAGGCTAGAAAATTGAAGATAAAGGCACTGGCAGATTTGGAATCTGGTGCCTTCTAGTTGTATGTTCACATGGTAGAATAGGCAGTATGACTCTAGGGCAGATCTGGTATCTTGTTTCCTCATGTATGGCTGTCACTGTAACCTCGTGGTAGAAGGGATCTCTCTTTGCCCTCTTTTTATGAGAGCATTAATCTAATTCTTTAGGGCCCCACCTCCTAATACCATTGCTTTGGTAGTTAGGATTTCAACATTTAAATTTTGGATCAACACAGTCATACCATAGCAGATAGCTGATTTTCAAAAGTCAAAAATCATCTGGGTGTGGTAGTGCACACTTATAATCCCAGCACTTGGGAGGCTGAGACAGGAGGATTGCAAGGAGTTCAAGGCCAGCCTAAACTACATAGTGAGACCCTATCTGAAAAAAGTACCCAAACAAAAACCACAACAAAATTAAAAGTCAAAAACCAGGGCCAGGCATGGGATTACACTCCTGTAATCCCAGTATTGAGGCAGGAGGATTGGGAGTTGAGTCCTGGATAATTTATAGACTGAGCAGCACTATTTCAAAAGAAAATCCTTGGGATAGCTCAGTCTGAAAGTCCTATGTTCACTCCCCAGTAGTACCAAAAATAAGTAAGTAAATAAATACATACATACGTACATGCCAGGACAGGCTGTAATGTGATCATTGTGTGTATTTTAGATTTGATGAGTTTGATGAAGCAATTGATGAAGCTATAGAAGATGATATCAAAGAAGCTGATGGAGGAGGTATGTGCTTATCATTCTTTATTATATAACTCTACCAACAAATTATTTCAAATTCCTAAATTATTTACTGTTTCCAAGTAGAATGAATACTCATGAAACTTTTCTGTTGTCTTTTGAAAGTACAAAGTCTCAGAATAATCAGATAATCAAGATAATCAGAATCTGAAGGGTTTATTTAAAGTAGCATATTAAAGGGGCTGGAGATTTAGCTCAGTGGTTCCGGCGCCTGCCTTGCAAGCGCAAGGTCCCGAGTTCAATCCCTGGTACCAAAAATTAAAGTAAATAAAACAGCATATTAAAAATTCATTTACTAATTTCATACTCTTCAAAGATGGCATTAAGGGCTGGGGATTTAGCTCAGTGGTTCTGCCACCTGCCTCACAAGTGCAAGGTCCTGAGTTTAATCCCCGGTACCAAAAAAAAAAGATGGTATTAAAATAGATGTATTTGAAGGAATTTATTGATTTAAGACAGTGTATAGCTGAGTACCAGTGCTCTAAAGTGGAAATATTCTGGTTTCCACTTGGTTATTATGAAAACTCTGGAAAAGATTAGGATTTTTATGATGGAGCCCGTTTTTCCAGAAATGTCGACCTTATTTATATCCTTGCCCACTTTTTCTGTATTGCAAACACAATTTAGGATGAAAAAAAATCATTTGACCTCTTTCTAGAGATTTTTTTTAGTGACTGCTAATAGGTAGTAGGTTTCTTTTTGGCCATTTTCTTTTTTTTTTGGTACCAGGGATCGAACTCGGGTCCTTGCGCTTGCACAGCAGGAGGCGAAACCACTGAGCTAAATCCCCAGTTAGTAGGTTTCTTTTTGGGGTGATGAGAATATTCAAATTGCTTAGTGGTGATGGTTGCACAACTGTGACTGTACTAAAAACCTCTGAATTACATATTTCCACAGTGCCACCAAAACAAGTATTGTGTTATGTGAATTAGTTCAAAAAATAAGAGGTTCTCTACAATATGAGTTTAATTCAGTAGTGTAGACAAATCCTAGCTCTCTGTCTTGATGACAATTCTGTCACCTGAAATTGTGAGAAATCAGCATATTTGTAGGAAGAATTCAAATGAAGGACAGTCTGTAAATTAAGTGGAAGATTTAATAAGCACAGTTATTTCTCCTTCTCAGGAGTTGGCCGAGGAAAAGACATCTCCACCATCACAGGTCACCGTGGGAAAGACATCTCTGCTATCTTAGAGGAAGAAAGAAAAGAAAATAAACGACCCCAGAGGGCAGCTGCTGCTCGACGGAAGAAACGCCGGCGTCTAAATGATCTGGACAGTGATAGCAACCTGGATGAAGAAGAGAGTGAAGATGAATTCAAGATCAGTGATGGGTATGTGGTCTGCTGCTGACCTGTTTTCTAGATACCAGTTTAAATTGACCCGAGCAGGCAGAAAGTCTTGGCCATGCTGCAGTAGGTCTTTTGCTTTCGATGTCCATAGACAATCTCTGTTTACTTTTAGGGTGTCTAAAACAGATTCAGAATGCTGATTCTGGTTCTTTTTTTAGAGTAAAATAAAAACTAGGTTTATGGTTGCTTTAGTATTTAAAGTTATAGCTGGGCATGGTGGCACACACCTGTAATCCCAGCACTCTATGAGGCTGAGGCAGGAAGATTGCAAATTCACTGTGGAGCTCTGTGACTTAACAAGACCCCATCTCAAAATTAGCTCACTGTGTAGGCCCTGGGTTCATTCCCCAGAACCACCAAAAGAAAAAGTTTGAAATTACACCCAGGCATGATGGTGTGTGCCTATACTCACAGTACCCTGGGTGGCTGAGGCAGGGGTATTGTAAGTTCAAGCCCATCTTAGGCAGTTTGGTAATCCTGTCACAAAGTAAAAAATAAAAAGAACTGGCCATGTAGTTGAGTATGAAAACCCTTGGTTCAATACCCAGTAACACACACACACATACACACACACATGAAATGAAGTTCGATTAACTGCAGTTGAACTTTCTTATTTTGAGAGCTTCCTCTCTATGTCTGCACTACTTTTAGCTACTGAGTTATGAAGGGGTTCCCATTCAGATGTGGGAAGTACAAGTAATTAGTTAATATCGTCTGGTGAGGTTGGGATTGGGGCAAGTAATCCAGTTTGAAAGGTCAGGGAAAGCTGAATAGAGTAGGTACTGAAACAGTACTGCAGAGTTATACCTTTCAGATTGTTAATGGAGATAATAAGCATATAAAACAGAAAAGTCATTCTGCCCCTGAAATACAGGTAAAACGTCAAACTAAGAACAATTGATTTAATCCAAGGAGGTCTGTGGAAGCTTCACAGTAGATGTAAAGCTTTAAATAATTTGGCAGATCAATGAGTTTGAGATTAGAAGCAGGATAAAGAAGGCCTTCTAAGCAGAGAAGATACAAGGCGGCTTGCCATCAAATGTCGTGGACTAATTGGGAAACTCCTGATGGCTCAGGATGTCAAGAATATGGGGATACTCAGTGGTTTCGCCGCTTGCTGCACAAGCACAAGGACCCGAGGTTGATCCCCGGTACCAAAAAAAAAGAATATGGGGATGAAATAGAAAATCTCCTGGGCCAGGGATTTAGCTCAGTGGCACTGCGCCTGCCTTGGAATTTGATTCCCGGTACCGCCAAAAAAAAAAAGAAGAGGAAAAGAAAATGTCCTGTTGAAAATGTGCCCAGCATATAAAAATGAACCAAATTATGGAGTGTTTTTGTCATACATAACATTTTTGGCTTTGTCCTGAAAATGATGAAAAGCCACTGAAGGATTTAGATATAAAGAATGCAAAGGGAAAAATTAGGTTAAATACAGTGTCAAGTGTGTGCTTTTAGTTACTGGATAGTGATGATATCAGATACCAATCTCAGAAACAGAAGAGGAGTGGGTTGGGAAATAATGAGTATGCTTTAGGACTTGGCTGAATTTTATATATGGGGGTCATTGCAAGAAGCTGATGCAACTTAGGTATAAAAAATCAGCATCACATATTAAGGCCACACTCTTAAGTGATATAAAGGACACACGTGTAAATACTGAATAGTTTCACTAGTGTGAGAAACTGAAAGTGTAAATAAGTATTAAAACGATTAAAACGAATAATTGATAATTTGAAATAGGAAGAAAAGGTCCAAAGGGGTAGGGGAAGTGAGAGGGGAAGGGGAAAGGAAAGAAGGGAAAGGAAAAAT